TTCTTAAAAGAAATGGGGTTTAAACAATTTAAGCACAGCACTATGCTTGCTTACACTTATGAAGAGGTATGATAAAGCTCATGGGGCAGGGAGAGAATGGACCTAGAAGCAAGCAGTGAAGAGGTGGGGCAAGGAGCTATAACTCGACCCCTGCAACCACAATTTGGTGAGCACTTAAAATGATTGACCAGGTTGTGAGTGCTGATGAAACAGATGCGGCTAAGTTTAAGACTATCTGGTTGGCTGTTTTCCTCAATGACCCTGCATTGCTGTATGACCTTTACGAGTTTAGCACTTGGTTATGATTAAAATAATTTTCCCTCAAGGGTTCTTGATACAGGTATGGGGCTCATGATTCCCTCCTTCGATCAAACCATTCTGCCTTCTTTGTGTGCCATATGACCCCTATGGTTTAGCACTTCTTGATTGTAATCTGGTTGGCTTTGCAGTGCATTAACTGAAGACAGGTAGCAACTCATCAGATATTTAATGCTGATGAACTCTGTATGATTCCCTGTGGGTTAAACATTTCCCCAGGGACTGTAATAACAATGCTGGGGAAACGGATTAGTATTGGAAGAGAATACCAAAAGAACATTTTTAAGACACCACACTTCAAGGAAGGGTTGATGCGGTGGGGGGAGGGGAGGGTCCTTGATCTAAGACATTGAATCCGACTTCTAATTGGGCTCAAACATAAATGCTTCCCCAATTTTCTCCTGGCACTGACCCAATAGGTCCAACCAATTTAATATGAGAACACTAGAGAAAATTCCTCCCTGTAAGTAACATGGCACTGAAAAAAAAAAAAAGCTTGTGACTTAGCTGTTTAATTACAAGTTTGCAAAAATTTTTTGTCTATTTTTTTTAAAAATAAGAGAGAAAGTAATACCAAAAAAAGAACTGCTGCATTGCATGACCCATCTGAGTTTAGCAAACATTTTTTAAAACAGAAAAAAAAAAAATGCTGTACTGCTCACAAGGCATTGCTTTAGTTAACATGTCTAATTATCTTGGTATTTTTTTTTTTTTTTTTTTTGACTATTAGAAATTATGGCCTTTAAGAATTAATTTCAAATGAATGGAATGTATTATTACATGGGCAGAATAGGCAGAGATGATTCATACATCCCAATACTGACCATAAAACAAAGGCTCAAAATGCAGCTGCAAGTCTGAAGACAGGTGATGCTGGAAATTGAGCAATAGGAGTATATATTAACCCTTTTAGGGTTCAGAACCCTGATCTGAAACTTGTCCACAGGGTCCAAGAATTTTCAAATATTTTTATTTTTACTTATAAAATGGTAGAGAATCTTTTTCTGAAAGTAAGAAAACAAAGTACAAATTTTGATGGCAAATTAATGAAATTACACTTATCAAAAATTTTATTGTCAGTGATATTTATGCATCAACGATGCATAAATTATGTTGTTCCAGTCAACTAAATTCATAGCTATTTCACTAGTATGCCTTCCATTTTATCGACTGAGCACAAGAAATTGCCAAACCAACTATTTCAACTATCCAATAAAGTGATCAGAAATTGGTAATATGACCAATTTTGCACAATTTCAAAATAGGGCCCAGAATAAACAAGGCAGGCATTCCTGGTACCAAAATAACATTTCCTCTGTTCATTGGTTACGTTCCCAGGCTTTAAACCCATGAGTTCCATTTTGAATTTTTATTTCACACACACACAAAAAAAAAAAGATTTACTGTTATACATCAATGTAATAATTATACAAATAATATCAGTGGATTTGTGAATGCATATTAGATTGACTAGTGGACACATATTGGACAAGTTACATGATTTGTTTACCCCGGAATTTCAACAAAAATCAAATATTTCTGCTACTCTGAGCTCAATTTCTAGCTATTTTCAGTCCTCAAACTAATTAAAATCATCTCTATTTCTGTAACATATCTTAAATTCTGTCAAATGAGACCAAGAAACCGTGAATAGAACCATAAAAATCAAACAAAAATACACTGTAAAGTTACTGCTTTAAACTAACAAGTCTATTTTTTTTTTTTTACTATGCAATGCGTGGAGCAGGGGTTTTTTTTTATAAAGGTCACACTTACCAAATAGACCCATTCTCTCGTATCTAGGCCCAAATTTACCACTCACAGCTTATGTGAATGAGCTGAGCTCATGGCGTAATTCTATGGCATGACCAAAGTTCAAAACCATAGAACTACGGCAATAGGTAACTCTCAAGGGGTTAAATCTTTGTTGCTGATTTTTTTTTTCCTAAATTATACTGCAGCTTGTTTGTGCATTTTTTTTTATGTAAATGAGGACTGCTAGTATATAGAGAAATATGTCTTGGTGTATACACAGTTTCAGTACTGAAAAGTAAAAGTTGAACTTGAAAATTCCCATTTTAGGAATTTTATTATTCATCCTACGTAGTAACTATGCCAAGTGTGGACATGACCCTAATGAAGTTGAAGGGCTTTCAACTACCAACTAATTACTGCATACACAGGCTTTCCGCAGCATGTAAAATGCTGTATGCCAAAGACTGATGCCATCGAGCTTTGACCACAGGGTAATGCACCATGCCAGTATTCAGTGTACAGTGCATGCAAAAAATAATCCAGACCTGCCTTCATTACAAAGAGTATAAAGTGGTTGGGATTCATACTGTATATCTGATACTACATATCTGAATGTTTTCTAGAGGGATGTCGACTGAATTAATAGAGACTGCAGTATATATCACCTCTGTGTGCCTGCATATGGCAGCAAGATAGTGTTCTGTTGCATTGCTCTATCCTCAAGTGCCCAGGATTTGGAGCTGTATTTAGTGCTGTGTAATTCTGTGCCAAGTGGATAAGATAAATATGGAACATTCAAAGACAAAAACGTAAAAAAACCATGTGTTGGCTTGTCATCATACTGGACGAACAAAGTCCAGTGTAATGGCATTACTTGCTGCCACCCATGGCCTCCCACCAGACATCATTTCCACTACCAAATCTCATATTGGACAGCCAAGGAAACTGTCTAAACATATAGATAACATTCTATGCAGAGAACTATATATTATTATAATTATAATAATAACAACTAAGTACTAAACTCGTACCAGAGAACTACACAGAATTCCATGACTTCATCACAGCTCAGAAATGCATCTTGAACTCCTTGGTGACTTCTTGATTTAGTGCTTACACCAACACCTGCAAAAGGACTTCTGTCTGCCCAATCATCATGTTGCAAGGAAAACCCACACTCACACCCCATATGAAGAAAAAGGTATGCCTGAACTTTGCCAGGAAATATGAACATAGTGATGAGATGCATCCACATTTCAGTACATTCAAGGTTGTCAAAGTAGGGAGAGGTGCCCCTCCTCCATTAGCAGGTCTGACCCATGTATATACAGTGAGCACTATAGAGTACCCATAATTCATCATAATTTTGGGTGGCTTTATTGGTTTACTTGGTCATGGGGATTTGTATTTCCCTCTCCAAAATGTTACAATGAATGCCAACCACTACATCACCATTCTTGAGGACCACCTGCTGAATATTCTTTAAATTCACAGCTGCACCAACTTTATGCATTATAGCAACCCCAATCACCTGGCAGCACAAGGCCAAAAAAGCAGCTAAGGGGCTTGCTGAGAAAAATATTGAGGCTTTACAGTGGCCAGACCTCAATCCTATCGAGAATGCCTAGAACATGAGGAACAAGATGGAATCCTGCCACATTTTATCCAAGTCATACCTGCAGTATGAGATCAGGGACATTCAGGTCAACCAGTTATCAACTGATTATTTTAAGAATCTGAGCAAGAGCATGTCCAAACAGCTTCAAATAGTCAAGGGGAAGATGACAAAATATAAATTTAAGAACCAAGTACTAATACTTGGTACCTAAATTTATATTTTGTTCTATAATGTTTATACTGTTACTTATTGATGATTTTTGTAATAAAGGGAAAGTCTGGATTATTTTTGTGAGCAGTGTGCATTGGTTATCAGAGCCAAAGGATTTGAAGAAAAGTTCTCTATGCAGCTCCAATGAGTCCAATTAGTGGGTCAGCTTACAACTGGAACCTGTCTTTTACCTTTTTTCTGGCAAATGAAGACAAATGCTTAGTTCTTTATTCATTTTCTAAAATACTTTTTTTTATCGATAAGTTAAGGGCTTATTTTGAAGCAAATTCTATAGACTGGGGGTTGGAAGGAGAAGAAAAAACTAATACCTAATTAACAGTTGCAGTCTAAAGAAAGCATTAACCTTTTCACTGTCAACAGCTCCGATTCTGAAAAAAAAAAAAATTGCGATCAATACTTGCCAAGATATAGAGGCATGAAGTTGACAGAAAGTGAACCGCTTACGGCAACATCCAAGACTGCTGCTCACTCGCTAATATTATATTTACTACTTTTATCCTTCCTTCTCTTCTCTTCTTCCTTCCTTTCTTTCTTTCCTCTCCTTTCCTTCCTTTCTTCCTTCTGGTATCCTGGGCATTGCTGTTGGTCACAAATTCAAAACCACAAAATTCATCTTCACTGACAGTTCCATCTGTGTTAGAACTATCACTTGGGAACAGAAAGAGTCCCAATTCACTGGGGAGTGAGATATTTCTTACTGCGAGGCATGTTAAACAAGGACTACTGAAATAGCATTCCCACAATGCAATGCGGGTGCCCCGACTTTTTTCATACTGCGTACATTGACGATGCAGACCCATTCTCTCACATGTAGGCCTACGAACTTTCTCCCGCTAGATTTGAAGCCTCTAGAATTTTGGCATATGAATAATTCACCAACACTGGCTCATAAGACGTATCTATATGGCACCAACGATGAAAGGGTTAAACTGCATAACTGAATTGAATGTAAAATTACCACATTGAGGTATAGAGCTTGCTCCTGGTAACAATTTTTACTATTATAAAAAGAAATATTCTGTCTATACTCAAAAATCCAACCATGAAAAAACTCATCATTATTACAAATTTCAACCTGTATTTTCTTAAAAAAATTTATTTGTATAAAAGTCTACACATGAAAAATTCTGTAATTGTTTTACTCTACCTAAAACCTAATATTCGAAGGTGATAGTCTTAGTTTTAAGGTATTCATGGAGTGCTTCTTCTCCAAGGTCTTTTCCAAAGCCACTTTGCTTGAATCCACCAAATGGTGCAGCAACGTCAGTTTTGTTGTAGGTGTTGACAAAGCATGTACCAGCATCTAACTTCTCAGACACAAGTAAAGCTTTACCAATGTCTTTTGTCATAACTCCAGAGGCCAGACCAAATTCTGTGTTGTTAGCTCGTGCTACCACTTCTTCAACTTGTCTGTCAGGAAGAAAGGAAAATTAAATGTAGATTCTTTTTTTTTTTTTTTAACAAGTCGGCCGTCTCCCACCAAGGCAGGGTGACCCAAAAAGAAAATACTTTCATCATCATTCAACACTTTCACCTCACTCACACATAATCACTGTTTTTGCAGAGGTGCTCAGAATCCAACAGTTCAGAAGTATATACATATAAAGATACACAACATATCCCTCCAAACTGCCAATATCCCATACCCCTCCTTTAAAGTGCAGGCATTTTACTTCTTATTTCCAGGACTCAAGTTCGGCTATATAAAAATAACCAGTTTCCCTGAATCCCTTCACTAAATATTACCCTGCTCACACTCCAACAGCTCGTCAGGTCCCAAATACCATTTGTCTCCATTCACTCCTATCTAACACGCTCACGCATGCTTGCTGGAAGTCTAAGCCCCTTGCCCACAAAACCCTTTACCCCCTCCCTCCAACCTTTTCGAGGATGACCCCTACCCCGCCTTCCTTCCCCTACAGATTTATACGCTCTCCATGTCATTCTACTTTGATCCATTCTCTCTAAATGATCAAACCACCTCAACAACCCCTCTTCAGCCCTCTGACTAATACTTTTATTAACTCCACACCTTCTCCTAATTTCCACACTGAATTTTCTGCATAATATCGACTTGGATGACAGCCAATAAACTTACACTTAACACTGACAAAACCTATATATTATGCTTGGTAGCAGAGCAGGTGTTGCACAACTTAACATTAAGATTGACAACACTCTAATTGCCAGACATAATGAGGGCAAATTCCTAGGCCTATACCTCGGCAACAACCTGAATTTCAGCACCCATATCCAACACATAACAAAAAAAAAAGTATCCAAAACAGTTGGGATCCTCTCCAAGATACGATACTACGTGCCGTAAAATGCCCTTCTCACACTATACCATTCACTCATTTATCCATACCTCACCTATGCTATTTGTGCTTGGGGATCAACTGCAGCAACACACCTAAAGCCAATAATAACCCAACAAAAAGCCGCAGTAATCACTAAATCCCATCCCTGGCAACACCCCCCGCCACTCTTCATAGATCTAAACTTACTCCCTGTTCAGAACATCCACACTTACATCTACAGGACCTTAAATTCCAATATTAACCTTGACCTAAAATGCTTTCTTGATAGTTGTGACAGGACCCACAGGCATAACACCAGACAGAAACATCTCTACGACATTCTCCATGTCTGACTAAACCTTTACAAAAATTCAAAGTATGTCAAAGGCCCTAAAATCTGGAACACCCTACCTGAAAACTCTAGAACTGCAGACATCTTATCTCCCTGATACGCCCCATCAACTAACTACATAAAAACCACCTGGTGGTTCACGCTTACACTCACTCACTCACCCATTTGACTATAAGCACAGAAATACGAATCTTAATCTTAAAATAACGATTCCTAACTAGTCATAAGTTTGCCTGTGATACTCAAATATAGAAACTATGTAGTGTGCCAAAACAAAAGCATTCACATTGCGAAACTCACAAACTAGTATTTAGTCACTTAGTATTTAGTCAACTTACTCCATAATTTGCAATAATTTAGGGTTAAGAATTAATCTAAGTTTGCCTGAAATGCCTAGCCATGCTAGGTGTTCTAGTGGCCCCCACTGTAATTAGTATTTTATTACATGTAAACCACACAATAACCAAAATCTGTAAACCCCGCATTGTAATTTTTATAGAGAATAAACTTGATTGATTGATTGAATATTTACACATTGCCCTTAGACAGGACATCTCCACTGCCTCCAACTGCCTCCTCGAGGGGTCTAGTCAGTGATTCCCCGCCTTTGGAGCTTTTGGTCATCTGCCGAGGCTTCGTGGCTTACCGGTCCCCCCTTAAAAAATTATGGTCTTTTATAACCTTGTTATATATTTTGAAGTACAAATTTTTTAAAGGGAAATAATGGGTGTACTGGTGTGTTTTTTACTTTTTTTTTTTTTAATCCTAGTTCTTTGCTAACTTAGTTATGTTAGGTAAATTGTTATCTGGCATTTTATAGTGGAAAAAATGGTTTCTGTTTCCGGCGTAGCTGGAACGTAACCTGCTGTTTTAAGTGGGGCCCCCTACGTATTAATGTAGGTTGAATGTGGGTTTTAATAAAAAATTTATTATCTGGAAATTAAGATAATTTTGTAAAAGCTTTAGTGCAATTGGGTATACTTACTTTTCACTGCTCCAATAAATTTGCCTATATCTTGACTATAATTTAGCATTTGTTTTTAGATCCCTGTGAAAACAGTCCATTGCCTCCACTCAGGCCGGCTTATGAAAGGGGGGGAGGGGGGTTTCTGTTATTTGTAAGCCTATTAAATTTCTGGGAGTGTTAAATTTTTGGGATCATAATAAAAATGCATGGGGAATGGGAGGCAATCAGTTTGATGAAAGGGAAAGAAGCCCCAATGCCTTGGTAGGAAAACCCCTACAGCATCAAGGAGCCTTTCTTAAAAAAAAGGGGGTTTAACAATTAAGCCAGCATATGTTTGCTTCACTTTGAAGAGGTATGATAAAGTCATGGGGCAGGGGGGAAAAAGGCCCTAGAAGAAGCGTGAAAAGGTGGGGCAAGGAGCTATAACTCGCCCCCTGAACCACAATTTGGTGAGATTAAAATGTTGACCAGGTTGTGATGCGATGAAACGATGCGGCTAATTTTTAAGACTTTTGGGTTTGGTTTTTTTCCCAATGACCGCTTGCTGTATGACCTTTACGAGTTTAGCACTTGGTTATGATTAAAATAATTTCCCCTAAGGGTTCTTGATAAGGTAGGGGGGCTCATGATTCTCCCTTCGATCAAACCTTTGCCTTCTTTGTGTGCCATATGCCCCCTATGGGTTTGCATTTCTTGATTGAAATTTGGGTTTGGCTTTGCGTGCATTAACTGAAGAAAGGGTTGAAAACTATCAGATTTTAATGTGATAAACTCTGTATGATTCCTGTGGGTTAAACTTCCCCATGACGAAATAACAAGTGAGGAAACTGGATTAGATTGGAAGAAAATACCAAAAAGAACTTTTTTAAGAACCCCACATTTTGGAAGGGTTGATGTGGTGGGGGAGGGGAGGGCCCTTTGTTTAAAAGACATTGAATCGAATTTAATTGGGCTAAAACATAAAGTTCCCTTTTTTCCCTGGCACTGCCCCATATAGGCCCAAACCCAAATTTTTAATATGGAACACTAGAGAAAATTCTCCTGTTAGTAACTGGCAAAAAAAAAAAAAAAAAAGCTTGTGACTTAGCTGTTTAAATTAAATTTGCAAAAATTTTTTGTCTATTTTTTTTAAAAAAAGAGAGAAAGTAAACCAAAAAAAAACTGCTGCATTGCATGACCCATCTGATTTTAAAAAAACTTTTTTTAAAAACAAAAAAAAAAAAAAAATGCGCTGCTCAAAAGGCATTGCTTTATTTAAGGTCAATTATCTTGGTAGTTTTTTTTTTTTTTTTTTTTTGAATTAGTTTATGGCCTTTAAAAATTTAAATTTAAAATGAATGGAATGTATTATTAAGGGCAGTTTTAGGCGAGATGATTATAACCCCAATCTGCCATAAAACAAAGGCTCAAAGCAGTGAAAGTTGAAGACAGGTGATGGGGAAAATTTTGGCAATAGGAGATATATTAACCCTTTTAGGGTTCAAAAACCCTGATCTGAAATTGTCCCAGGGTCCAAGAATTTTCAAATATTTTTTTTTTTAACTTTAAAATGGTGAGAATTTTCTGAAAGAAAGAAAAAAAAGTACAAATTTTGATGGCAAATTAATAAAATTAAATTATCAAAAATTTTATTTGTCGTGTTTTTAGCATCAACGATGCATAAATTATGTTTTTCCCCAGTAACAAATTTTATAGCTATTTCATAGTATGCCTTCCCTTTTTGACTGGCACAAGAAATTCCCAAAACCCAACTATTTCAATATAAAAAATGATCAAAAAATTGGGTTTTAAATATGCCCAATTTTGCCAATTTCAAAATGGGGCCCCAAAATAAACAAGGGGCATTCCTGGTCCCCAAAATAACATTTCCCTTTTTCATTGGTTACTTTCCCAGGTTTAACATGAGTTCCATTTTAAATTTTTTATTCACCCCAAAAAAAAAGATTTACTGTTATCTAAATGTAAAAATTATAAAAATTATATCGTGGATTTGTAAATGAAATTTTAGATTGACTGTGGACAATTTTGGGAAAATTTTACTGATTTGTTTATCTGGAATTTCAACAAAAATCAAATATTTTGCACTTGAGTCAATTTCTGCTATTTTCAGCCCCAAAAAACAAATTTAAAAAATCACTCTTTTTCTGTAAAATATTTTATTCTGTCAAATGAGCCCAAAGAAACCGTAAATTAAACCAAAAAAATCAAAAAAAATACACTGTAAAGTTATGCTTTAAACAAAAAGTCGTTTTTTTTTTTTTTATTGCACTCGGGGAGCAGGGTTTTATTTTTTTTTGGTGCACACTTACCAAATGCCCCTTCTCTCGTATCTGGGCCCCAAAATTTCATCACAGCTTATGTGTGAGCTGAGTCTTTGGGTTAATTCTATGGCACTGACAAGAGGTTCAAACCATAGAACTGGGGCAATGGTAATCTAAGGGGTTAAATCTTTGTTGCTGATTTTTTTTTTTCCAAAATTTATTCTGCAGCTTTTTTGTGCATTTTTTTTTTATGAAATGGGACTGCTAGTATATAGGTTTATGTTTTGGGTGTTACCAGTACAGTCTGAAATAAAAAGTTAAACTGAATTCCCATTTTGGAATTTTTTATTCACCCTAGTAGTAACTTCCCAAGTGTGGACTGACCTAATGAAGTTGAGGGCTTTCAATCCAACTAATTACTGCATCACGGGTTTTCCGCAGCTGAAAAAGCTGTATCCCAAAGATGATGCCTGAGCTTTGCCCACAGGGTTTAAGCCATCCCCAGTATTCAGTGTACAGTGCATGCAAAA